GCAAGGAGAAGGGCGGGATATAAATTCAAATAAACTAAACTAAACTAGAACAATACCTCAGATGCTATGTTAATTACTAACAGACTAACTGGGCGGACCTCCTATCTTTTGCCAAAGTGGCATACAACTATACAGTACACAGTAGTACTGGGTTTATCCCATTTAAAATAGCTACTGGCTGGGATTTTCTTCCATTGCTTGACTACCCCCAGGAGTCTCCCACTTTGCAGACCCTCAATCAGTGCAGAATGTTTGGGCAAATATAAAAAAAGCTTTAGCCACTAAGACTTATAAAGAGCAAGCTGATAAGAAGCGATCTCTCTAGAAGCCATTTCATGTGGGGGAGAATGTTTATCTATCTACTAAATACCTAAGACTAAAGTTGCCTAGTAAAAAATTGGGACCTAAGTTTCTCAGTCCTTTTCCTATACTCAAAATTATAAATCCTGTCACAGTTGAATTAAAGCTACCATGGCTTTTAGGGAAAGTTCACCCTGGTTTCCCCTGTACTTTGTTAAAGCCACTCATAGAGAAATCCTTGAGACCAATCCCCAACAAGGCGCCTGGTCCCATTCTTGTAGAAGGAGAAACCCACTATGAGATAAAACACATTCTTGATTCTAGATTGCATAAGGGAAAATTACAATATTTAGTGCAGTGGAAAGGTTACCCCTTATCAGAAGCTACCTGGGTGAAAAGTACAGATGTGAAGGCAGGAAAGTTAATATGAAGGTTTTATGACAAGCATCCTCAGAAACCAGGGGGATTCCTAAATTGTATTTTTGTTTCCTATGCAGGAATTGCTTTCTCCTTAGGGGTCTGACTGTCAACTCTACAACGAACCTGGCTGCAGCCATATTGCTCATTCTAGGTTGCCACATGAATGGGAAGGGGTGCAGAGGATCTTTGCTAGTCTAAACAATTCTGTGTCCCATGGGAACCAAGGTCATTCTATCGGTTATGTTAGGGGGTTGGGCAGTGTGTTAGAAAGTCTGCCAAACTATTCTATTGGGGAACGTAGCTGATTGCTTAGTACTGGGGTGGGAAGTTTGACTTGGAAATAGTGTAACTCTTTGGAGGGAATTTCAGACTTGGTTTCACTTTTGACCGTGCCGATATTTTGTAACCAATAAACCTGTTCTTTGAGGAAGCCTCTAGCCTCGGAGTTCTGATTTATTTGGCTCTATCTATCAGAACCATGGTGCTAGGATAGAAGAGATCCTCCCATTTCCAGGAATATTTCTAAATCAAACCTCATAATTTTCTTTTAAACTAGTTTTTTTTTTTAAAAAGAAGGAAAAATATTCAAAGCCTAGAATTGAGATCTGGTATAGTAAATAGATTCCAGCATAACAGATTAATTTTTTTTTATTATAGCTGCTTCTGCCTTTTCTGCAAGTGGTGAATATTGGATATCAATGACCCAATAGCTGTAATGACAGTTCACGATTCAAAAGATTATAAGGTTCAGGATTAGCTGAGCTACTTGAACTACTTTCTAGATAAAGTATAGCAACAGTGGAACATGAAATGTCTTCTTTTGACTATTCACCAATAGTGACTGGCATTATACTAGTACCTAGATAATTTCACAGTTAATTGCGTAGGTCAATGTCATAAATGCCAATCAATTCTCATGCTAAGATGAGCTTTAGGAATTACAGAATATGCAATATCAGAAGTATGCCACTAATGGGGACAATATAGCTGAAGTCTTTTAGAACTGTTCCCCTGAACTTGCAAACTAAAACACTATACTTGACACAGCCTAAATTGGTGAAGCTCATCCACTTTTCAGGGTGTCTTGCCACCAGAAAACAGACACTGTGCCTTGACTCAAAAGGCAAATGAGGCTCGAACACACCTGGCTTTCAATATCTAAAACCTGACCTTATTTGGAACCCAAGTCAAATGTGTTCCTTTCAGAATCCAGAGGATATTTTGCCCTTTTGCCCCATAGGAACTCACAGACCCAGACATATTTTTAGGTGATTAAAAAAAGTGATCCTTCCAAATCTTTACAGTCCTGTTACAGCCTAACAGGAAATCGTGCTCACAAAGAGAACAGTTCCTTCTGTAAAATATTGCTCTTGTATTTAAAAAAAAGGAAAGGAAAAGAAAAATAATAAAAAGAAAATGAGCCACATCCATATGACTTGACGTATTAAAATAAATGCATGGTTCCCATTTCAAATAAGTGATGGGGAAATAAATCATATTAAACTGGTTTATGCATTAATGCTGATTAAAAACACTTACTGACCTTATTACTCATAGCAGAGTAGTTTTCGCAGCAGATATATTTAATCTAATGACATTTAGCCCACAAAGCTTTCCATCTGAACCCACCATCTTCCATCAAGTTGATTTCAAAGTTGACATGGACTTACAGGATTTCTTCTCATTGCTCCACCCACAGCTCTGGCTGCTTTGCTGTGGCCTGCCAGGGCTGCTAATTGCTTGTAAGAAACTGCCTCTCCAAATTTCACATCTCTCAGCAGGGTCCACAACACGTCTCTGGTGAATGAAGCTGGAAGGAAAGCAGAGGAAACAAAAGGAACAAAAGTAACAGCGACAGAGACATTACTTGCTTTTTTAAAAAGTGGCATTTAAATCTGGAAGAGCAGGTGGCTTGGCCAAAATTGTAGATAACATTGCTGCCTTTGTCCCCTCCCATTTGAATCATTCCTCCAGTACCAGCAAGGAGGGCTGTGAATAGAGCAGCAAACTTGACACAGGTGTGAGAGGGGGTGTAATTTGGGAGTTCTGTGGCTGCTAATAAAGAGAGAAGTGCAACGGCCAAAGGACAGAAGGAGTTCTTCCTTCAGAGGGAGTGGAACGGCCAGAAAAGAAAGAAATACCAGATGTCCAGCAAAGCACAGTCTGGAAAGGTGTAAGAGCTCTACATGCTGGACATAACAGAAAAGGAAAAAAGTAGAAAAAATCCCAGAGGGAGGAAAACGAGACAGAACAAGCTTTATAAGAAGGAAACATTGATGTATAATAGAAACAGCAGAGAGCACTAATGATAATAGTATAGTGGTCCTCGATTTACTACCATTTGTTTAGTGACCGTTCAAAGTTCCAATGACACTTGAAAAGGTGACTTATGACTGGTCCTTGTGACTGTTACAGCATCCCCATGGTCTCATGATCAAGACAGACATGCTTGGCAGCTGGCATGTATTTACGATGGTTGAGTGTGCAGGGGTCACACAATTGCCTTGTGGGACCTACCCAGTCAGTTTCCACAAAGCAGAGTCAATGGGGGAAGCCGGATTCACTTAACAACTGCATGATTCATTTAATAACTGCAGTGATGCACTTAACAACGTGGCAAAAAAGGTCATAATATTGGGCATGACTCACTTATCAACTTGTTTAGCAGTAGAAATTCTGGTCCCGACTGTGGTCGTAAATTGAGGACTATCTGTATATAGTATAGAGGAAACATAGTAATCGTATAGTATAGAGCAGTGCTTGTCAACCTTGGTAACTTTAAGATGGGTAGATTTCAACTTTCACAATTTTGCAGCCAGCAAACTAGAATTCTGGGAGTTGAAGTCCACACATCTTTAAGTTGCTGAGATAGAGAAATGTGTCCTATCCTACTAGATTTGCTGTGTCAGTCTACTGTGACACAATGGGGAAAGTACACTCAAATATGTACTGTTGCTGGATGTTTGCTGGAATTCTGGAAGTTGAAGGCCACACATCTTAAAGTTGCCAAGGTTGAAAAACTGTGGTAAGAGAGGAAACATTTTAAAACTAATAGAACAGCGTATAGGATAGAGATAATAATAGGTGTGTACACAAACACATTTGTAAGTCTTATATACCGTTTTTATAGAACACCTTTATTTTGTAAAATAAAAAGTCTCCGCAAAACATATAGGGACATATAAAGTGCTTTTGTATCTCTTGAGTCTGTGGCTATGGTTTAAAAGAAAACTCATGACATATGCACATCAATATTTTTTTTCTTTTGAATTAGCACAGCAATCAGTTCTAGGATTGTGTTCTATATTTAAATTCATGATTATTAAAGAATGCAGTTTGAGCACTGATCACTATTACAAAAGCATTCAGAGCTTTGATTTTCCTATATTTTTAATTTCCAGTATAATTATCCTGTTAACACATACAATAGGCTTTCCCATTCAATGGCAAGCTTAAATAGGCATACAGTCAAATTTAAAAAGAAAAAAAAAAGGAGAATAATGGGCAGGACTTGTTTTATAATGCTTTTCTACTTCTAATTTTCAAACTTAAGCTGGGCAGGAAGAAAGCTAGCAGGCTGGATTATTGTATGCCCCCCAGCCACCCTTTCACATGTTAGATATGAGAAAATACAATGGTGTCTCTCAATATATATTGCATATTTGAGTGGGTAATTCTCATTGAAAGAAAAACACTCATTTATTTGCTGCCTAGTTACTCTTGATTTTCATATTGTTGTTAATAAGGCATGGAGAAAAGCAATCTTTGTAGATTGCTGCAGAATGAGACATTCATCTGTGACAATGGAAAAATTCATTGGCATGATCTGGTTATAGAAAGAAGGGAATAATTATTTATTTGTTTGTTTTATTTATTTCCTGCCTTTATTAAATTTATAAGTAACTCAAGTCACCAAATAGACATAGTACTCCTTCTTTCTCTTATTTTCCCCAAAACAACAACCCTGTGAAGTAGGGTTAGGCTGAGAGAGAGTGACCAGACCAAAGTCGCCCAGTTGGCTTTCATAGTTATGGAGGGACTAGAACTCGCAGACTCTTTATTTCTAGTCTGTTGCTTTAATCACTAAACCATATTGGCTCTAAATAGCATGTTTTACGGGTAGTCCTCGACTTACAAGAACCATTGAGCCCAAAATTTCTGTTGCTAAGCGAGACAGTTAAGTGAGTTTAGCCCCATTTTACAACCTTTCTTACCACGGATGTTAAGTGAATCACTGGAGTTGTTAATAACATGGTTGTTAAGTGAATCTGGCTTCCCCATTGACTTTGCTTGTCTGAAGTTTGCAAAAGGTGATCCCATGACCCCAGGCCACTGCAACCATCATAAATATGAGCCAAGAATCTAAATTTTGATCATGTGACCATGGGCATGCTGCAACAGTTGTGTGAAAACGGTTGTATGTCACTTTTTTCAGTGCTGTTGTAACTTTGAAAAACTTCTGTGATTATTTTTGCCCAGAATTATTTATATAATAGATTTGTAGGTCATCATATCTTCCTGGAAGCTTGCAGCTATAAAACATAGTCCAAAGAATTAAAACAACCATAGTCAGAAAGAACAGAAGCACAAACAGCCTCCAGAAGGGCTGCATTTTCACCATCTTTTGGAAGGTTATCACAGAAGGGATGTTGGGATTCCTAAATGAAGGAATGCTGTAATCTACTTACTGATCTTCTTAGCAAAGGAGAAATATTTATTTATTTAATGCTATTTGTAGTCCACAGTGTACACAGTTTGAAATATAATACAATAAAAAAGAGCAATTACAATAAAAACAGTCCTTTATGGTGGTCACCCAAACAAAGCAATGGATTCAAAGCTTGTTGGAATAGTATCTGCTCCCTGAAAGCAAGAATTGGGCTATCCATGCCTTTGCAGCTAGAAGAGCATTCTATGGAGGAATAGATTGAGGATTTTAGATCTGCAATAAACCATACTGTAAGTTGCTATTCCGTAATATATTCCTATCTTCTTCTCATTTGCTGCCCCAGATCTCTTTTAACTTTCTACAAGTAGTCTACAACAATTTGTTTAACAACAATTCAAAGTTACGGTAGGGCTGGAAAAAGATATGACCTGTCCTCAAACCTATGACTGTTGTACCATCCCCAAGGTCAAGTGATTGCAATTTGAGCACTTGGCAATTAGCTTGCATTTCCAATAGTTGCAATGTCTTGTGGTCACATGGCCACAATTTGCAACCTTGTCAACTGACTGTTGATAAACAAAGTCAAAAGGGGGAAGCTGGATTCACTTAATGACCATGCAATTCACGTAATAACCACAGTAAAATTGGGTCTGGTCATGTAATGACTTGTTAATGACCCCATCACTTATCAAAATTCCAGTACCAATTGTGGTTGGTTGTCAAGGATTTTTTGTAAATTAAGAGATAGGTAGGGAAAAACAGGGGAATGACAGTAATGTTTTTCTCTGAAGCCATCAAATGAAATTTTTGGGGGCAGAAAAAAATGTTTATGTGCTGGTAATTAAATTAAAAAATTAGTTACATTATATTTACTCCAGAAAAGTATTCTTTGTTCTTAAATAAACCTACATATATTTATTAGTTTTAAATAATAACAACTTTTTAAATGAATAGCATAATACTCACCAGTGAAAAAATATCCATTTAGCCTTTATGGTAACGTTAAGCAAATTAAATATCAGCATAATCCAGGTGATACTAGGAAAGGGTCATCAAAGAAATTAACTTCGTTGTTCATTAATTTACATGGATTAAAAAGGGCAGAGAGATAGCAAATCTGCTCTAGTTCTTTTATGATATAATTTCAAATTGTACACCATTTGTGGCACTAGGGTGATTTTGGGGTTAATCAGACTGATTTGTCCTTTTAATTGCTTTCTATTCAAAGAAAATTCATTAGATAATGTTCTCTTCAAAATTCATGAATCAATTTAACTGAAGAAACCATATTAACAGCTTTGAGTTCATTAGCACACAGAGTTGTGTTACGAGCTGATTGCTAGGAGAGTTTCCTTAGGCAGTAAGATTTTGTTGACTGTATTTTTTTCCCCGAAAGGTCTATTTAAAATTCAACTCTATATGGTTAGAGTGGATTTCTCCAATTCCATTCTATGGTTGTTCCCTAACTTAGCTATGGACTATGCCTGCTTTTTTTGCAGGATGAATTTTGATGGTTTATTTTAGAAATTGATTTCTTATCAGTTTGCTCTCTGACTTAATCTTTCTAATCTTTCTATATGGTACATACGTAGTCTCCTGATTCTGTAGCAGCCTAAGATCCTGGCATCCTTCTTAGTGACTTCTCTCTCACTTGGCCTTTCAAGTCTCCTTAGACAATGATGATTCTTCTTATATAGCAAAGCTAACTGGACACTAAACCAGCACACTTTATAATTGTTATTAACATAAAAACAACTGTCCCAGGTGAAAAGTTTTTGTAATAGAACTAAATATACTACTAAAACTCTTGTACCTATTTGTTTCTAACCTTCAATTGGACAAAATTGGAAAATATAGGCAACAATTACTGAACCAAGGTAACTGAAATGGGCTCATTTAAAGAATGTCAAGCCTTTAATTCCCATAATTCTCAGTTATGGTCATGTTAGCTGAGAAAAAATCAGACTGGGAAATATATGGGAGATAGTCCAAATATTTTCATTATACTATATTGATGCCAGAAATATCCAAAAATGAAAATACCATGTTTGGGACTTTTAGGAAAATGATTTCAAAAAATTGATCAGTCAGCAATGTAATACTTTGGGTATACATTTATGGTTTAGCCTAGTCTTATGTGG